AATAAAGAAATCGTCATGAGAAATCTAGTGAATATACTATGTTGTAAAAATTTGAATTTCAAACGCTCATAAAAAGTTAATTTGACTATTTCTTATTGACATTTTTTTTTTTTTTGATAAAGGTAGATAATCTCATAAGGAATCTTGTATTACATTATCAAATCTTAGATTTAAAAAGAAAAATTTTTACGAATTCTTAACTCAAAATAATTTGCTATTTTTCGTGATTTTTCCATATTTTGTCAAATTTTGAACTTTAAATGCTTATAAAAATAAACTGTGACTAAGGATTTTTAATGTTTTTCATCTGCCTTTGAAACAATATACCAGGAGCCTCCTATTAAATTTTCAAGTTTTTTAAACCAACAAATAAAATTGTATTGATATTTTTAGAAAAAATACTAAAGAAAAATGGAAAATGAAAATGGCCCTAAAAAGTTCAAAATAAATCAAAATTGTATGTACCTACGGTCATTTGTTTAAGAGTTGCACCAAAAAACAAAATCGATTTTTTCAAAAACAGATTTTTTGTAAAAATTCCCGTTTTTCCTTAATTTTTATGTTTTTTTCCCGGTGCTTGTGAAAACTATTGGGAAATTTAAATTTTTGCCTCCCCAATGCACCAACGATATTCACTTTCGAATCGAAAAAGATACTGAAGTTGAAAATCAAAGCATTATTTCGACTACTTATCGTGTACACAGACACAAAAATAAAAAAAAAATATAAAAACACACATCATTGTAAAATCAATACATTCATCGTTCCACTCAGAATCTAAAATATTATATTCATGATATTACATCTTTATAGCGCTTAAAGATCTTATATTTTTTTTTACTTACCTAGTCATTTTTACACGTAGTTTACGAAGGATTTTTGCCGTGATACCACTAATTTTTATCGTTAATAAATATTGAGTATTATATAAATATATAATATTAAATACTGTTTGAACTTCCCGCCGCTTCCAGTGCGACATTCGGCAACCGGTCCGCGAGACAGCGCGTCGCGCGGCCCGCAGACACCGGGCTCCGGCCAAGTCGCCGCCGGCGACTAAAAGCTTGTCTTTTTCGTACGCTCGATTTGAGTGGACCGTGCGTGTGTCGCGTCCGGCCGTTGTTCGGTGCCGTTTTGCGACAACTTCGTTTGGTGCGAGTTACCCGCGCATGTTCGCATTGTACATATTATATTATTTCGCTTTACGTGTTGTTTCGTTGTCGCGCCATCCGACGTAATTGTGTTTTCGACGCCGTTGTCGTCGTTCTCGACGTCGTACCGTTTAACGTCGACGGTTGCCCGTTGCGCGACCGATACTCGCCGACGCGTGTTTGCCGCTGAGATTCGCGCCCGTATTGTTGTTCGCATTGTACATATAATATTATTTCGCTCTACGTATTATTTCGCTGTCGCGCCATCCGACGTAATTGTGTTTTCGACGCCGTTGTCGTCGTTCTCGACGTCGTACCGATTAACGTCGACGGTTGACCGTTGCGCGACCGATACTCGCCGACGCGTGTTTGCCGCTGATATTCGCGCCCGTATTGTTTGTCAATTCGTGTCGATACATCTTGGTCGTCTGATTCCGACGGGCTCCAGTTCGTACCGGGTATATCGTTCGCCGGCATTATTATTATCGTGTGTGGATATCCCTCGTGCGACGCCGCTTCAGTGCCGTGATTACGTAATTCGCGCATTACGTAATCCGGTCATTCGCCGTCATCCGGAGCCGCCGCCGACAGCCGCCGCTCCCCGTTCACCTCCGTGTCATCGCATCGCCGCAGCAGCTGTTCCAGTCGCCGCCGCCGATACACCGCCCTACCGCGGCGCATGTGCCGACCGGTAATCAAATTATTATTATCGTTATTGCCCTATCAGTTATATTGTTTATTATTGTTTTGAGTTGCGCTCGGGAAAAGACGTTTTCCCGGCCAACATACGCACATTTGTCGTCATAATATATTACTTTCTGTTATTTGCGCCGTGTTATAATTATATATATATATTGGTCACCTATCCCGTCCAAAACTGAACACCACTTTCTTTTATTCAAGTAGTTGCCCGGCCAAATGCTAGTGAATAGCCGGCAGCCCAAACAAATACAATAATCTATAAGAACTGTAATATTGTTGGTAACATTAGCAACGCTGATGCGACGACGACGACAGCTAGGTACCGTGATACTGAATTTAATATAAATGTCCATTAAAAAGTTAGTGTAAAAATTCTCGTTTTTCCTTAATTATTATTTGTTTTTCACGATGCTTTTGAAAACTACTGGGAAATTTTCACTTTTGACCCCCCCAAAGTACCAACTAGATTCACTTTCCTATCAGAAAAGCTACTGTTGAAGAAAATCCAAGCACTTTTACTGTCCTAAAACGTGATGACAGACACAAAAAAATATTAAAAAAATTAAAAATTAAAAAAAAAACACACATCATTGTAAAATCAATACATTCATCGTTCCACTCAGAATCTAAAAAAAATTACAAAATATTTTTGATAATGTGTAATACATTGTCGTTCACAAATGTTATACCGGAAGTAATTTGGGCTTCCGTTTTCCACGCGTCAATTTGTAAATACTGCAAATTTGACTGAAGTACTGAGCGCATTGTAACGGAGTAAAACTTAAAATGGTCCTTTTCAGAACCACTACCAACAGACATCGACACACAACTACACGGGGTGCCGTAACAGGAGGTGGATTCTATAAAAGAATATTTCACCAGTATGACGAGGGAAAACCGCACCAAACCAACGGCAACCACCAGGAAACGGTGCGGTAAAAACTCGTCATACTACACAGAAAACATCTAATCAGATCCGTCGACGGTGAATTAGTAGGTATATATACTGGTACAATTCACCGAACAATCGGTTTATTAACTGGAAAAAATACACGACAACTCTCGCGAACTTACCGAACCCAACCACTCAACCGACCAACGACCGTGAGTCTATCGACCTGGCAATCGAAAACCTCACAAAACATATTCAACAAGCGGTTGAATCCAGCGTATACGTACCGACACGCAAACACCCGTCCACTGTAGTACCAGACTACATTAAACTGGAAATACAAGACAAAAACCGTATACGCCGCGAATGGCAAATAAACCGCGACCCGACAATTAAACGACAACTAAACGCCAAAATATCTCTCATACGTACCTTACTCGCAACGCACAATACTGACCAATGGGACATCTTTCTTAACTCACTAGACCACCAAGACGGTTCAATATACAAACTCAACAAATGTCTCTTACACAAACGTCCAGCATCCCACCCACTAACCGGCCCCGACGGCCTAGTTTTTCCGGCCAACGAACGAGCAGAGCTGATAGCCGACTCGCTCGAACGTCAATTTCAAACAAACCCCGGCCCCGACTTACCAGACGTAACCGCTCACTCCCAGTACCTACAAGGCCTTGACATCACCCGATCTAACCTCTTTACCACTCCCGGCCAGATACAAGACATAATTCGCAACCTTCGCAAAAAGAAACCCCCAGGTGACGACCTCATCACCAACACGGCTCTTAAATTCCTACCGAACAACGTTATACTGTCCCTTACTCGGATCATCAACAGCGCCTTCAGAATCTGCTACTTTCCCCTTGCCTGGAAAAAAGCAGTCATCATCTCCATTCCCAAACCTGGCAAAGACCATAAACTACCCGAAAACTATAGACCAATCGCCCTCCTCTCCTCCCTGTCCAAAATTTACGAACGACTCATCCTCACCCACCTACAAGACAAACTCAAAAACAAAATCCGTCCCGAACAGTTCGCTTTCAGACCCGAACACTCGACCACACTACAACTGACCAAACTCACCCACCAACTGAGCGAAAACTTTAACAACGACTTAAACACTGCTTCCGTCTTCCTCGACGTGGAGAAAGCATTCGACCGCGTCTGGCACGAAGGCCTACTCTACAAACTCTCCAAACTCAACATCTCGTTAGAAATCGTAAAAATCATCCAATCCTTTCTCACCGACCGTACTTTTACCACTAAAATTGAACACTCCTTCTCTACTACCAGACACGTACTCGCAGGAGTCCCTCAGGGCTCCTGTCTCTCACCGACGCTATACTTGACGTACATTAACGACATTCCAACGACTCCTAAAGCCAACCTCTCACTCTTCGCTGACGACACGATGTTCTTTACTAGTAATAAAAACCCCAAACGTGCAACCATACAACTACAACACCAACTCAACCTCGCGTCCAACTGGTTCCACAGGTGGCGAATCAAAATAAACCCGACCAAAACAGTAGGCGTCCTCTTCGGGCGTTCTAATACAACCCACATTCCACCTCTAACCATCGATAACCAACCCGTTAACTGGTCAAAACAGGCCAAATACTTAGGCGTCACGATTGGACGTAAACTTACATTCAACCAACACATTCAAGACGTAACCAAAAAAGCTACCCGCGTCCGTGGTATGCTTTACCCCTTACTTAACCGTACTAGTCCCGTTCCGCTGAAAACAAAACTTAACATACTTAAACTCTACGTGACCCCTATACTTACATATGCTGGCTCTTCCTGGGCACCCTTTATCGGCCCCTCCCATTGGAGACGTATTGAATCCGTTCAAAACATCGGCATACGCACGATAACCGGTATGCCCACTATCGTTAGAAACTCGGTCCTTTTAAAATCAGCCAACTTCAAATCTATCCAAAATTCCATTTGCTCTCAATCAAAAACAATGTTCTACAATAACTCTTTTTCCGAATACGATCATATCCGCCTCTTAGGTAAAACCCACTCCCCTCCAACCACCAAACGTTTACTCAAACCATACCCATTAAATTGGACTGACTTACATAACTGAACCTACCAATCAACCCCAAAATCCATCCACTAGTAGAGGCACAAGCCTGGAATAGTAAACGGCATAGCCACCCCTCCCAAAGCAAAGAGTATCATTATCAGTCTTCATTCAACCTTCTATTCAGTAACATTTCAAACACTTAGAAGAATAAGACCTGACACTCCGACGAAACCCGCCACCAGTCAACGACGAGCAGACCAGCAGCCAGACGTGAACCGACCATAATTCGCTCCCAGATCAAATTACCCAAGTCCGCCGCATTGTCGCTCGCCGAGGACCAGCCCGATAGGCAATCCAAAAGCCGACAGCCACGAGTCTGCCGCCACCAATCATGAGGTGATCCAAGCCTAGCGACGCGTCCAGTGCGTGAACGACGATCCATCGGCACGTTCAAGTAACCAGAGTCGCAGCCAGAAGTTACCGCCGCTGTGACCGACTGATCGCCGACACAACGCCGATCTATACCATCCGTCGACACCAACTACAACGGATCCCCCCGACCCCCCTCTGGCCACTTGATTGAGTTGTGTCAAACCCCGGGTCCGATATATCGTTGTAGCCGCCTCCTGCGAGTCACGCGCAACGATATATTGACCCCGTCCATACGGCTACTGTAACACGCCGATATCCCCAACATATATTCCCTATCACTGTAAATAGGACCAGGCTTTCGCCGGTCGCGCCGAGCTCTCATCGCAACGGTCCGCCTATTCGGGCTGGCCGTCGCACTCGTGAACCTCGCTACCCCTACTTGTATAATAAACATATTTTGACGAATAAAGGATAAGACGTAATACAAAAACCTACGCGTTCTTATTCCGGACGCCGGTCCGCAGTGACCGTGCCGTCTCACATTGATCATTAAAAATCAAATCAAAATTAGCATCATCATAATAACAGTATACCTAGGTAGTTATGTAGTTTCAATAATATAATTGTTTAAAAAAATGAATAATTTCTATTGCTCTACAAGGAAGATATTTAAAAAAGTGCTTTCTTCTATTGTGTAACGAGAAGAATATTAAAAATAAAAAAACATCGTTGTATAAACGATTTTAAGGGACAGCGATCATTTCAATTATACACCAGAAACTTTTCATATTTTTTTTCTTTAAAAAATAATTATCATCGATTTAAACGAATACTAACTGCAGTGCATACAGACTAGTTAGATATGTTAAAGTTTAAATTCCTAATACAAATAATAGGTATATTTTAAGTAGTTCGTAAAAATTTAAATTTCTAGTTGAAAAAAAAAATTAGATATTTCCATATAATATTATGTTTATTATATTTTTGTAAATTCCTAGCAGAAATAATTTTAATCGTCTGTTTAATGCGTTTTAATTATTCTATAATAATATATTATCAAACGTGCGTTGGTGCCATGTTTGGTTTTTAGTTGTAAATTATTATCAATGTGGTTGTTTTTGCAAATGTACACTTTTTTTTTTGGAGAACAATCCTGAATAATATTATTTTGTAAATACGTATTAAGAAAATAATGTTTCTAAACGTGTAACGAATCTCGTAATATCTATAATAATATGTCAGACACGCATCAACAGGGTTTAATACATATACCAAGGTATGATATTGTCCCGGAGTTGAAACAATGCGTCCAGGATCGAAGTATTACGATGGTAGTTCCGACCCTGGTTCTTGGTTCAAAAAAAAAAGGTATAAAATTGTAGTATAGGAACTATACCGGTCATAAACGATCTAAACACCAAACGTCAAAAGCTAAACGATTTAAATTGTTTCGTTTTTTTGATCCATTATTATAGGTAATTGTTTATTTTTAATTTAAGACCCGCCTTTTTTTAAGCTCCACCTTTCGTTCTAAATTGTATAAATTCAGTAAAATGTGAAGACACGTATGATAAGTGCCGTATGGAAAATCGCCGATTTGGATAGCGTTGACCGTTCACACTCGGCGTGTGAACGGTAAACAAATTCTCGTGTACATTTTGTCAATCCTACCATTGGACGTAAACTGAGAACGCGACAAGACTTATAAAAACTGATTCGTCTACTCAAGATCGACCAGGACACTTTTTAAGATATTTAATTTAATATAAAATAATCAACATTTAAAATGACATACATTTATCGGAGTTGAGGAACAAAAATTTTGAAAAAGTGGTCTGATCGACCTCAAGTAGGCATATTATTAATTAACTCAAATTAATTTTCAGATGTGCAGTAACATAATAATATTGTTCATTTCAGTTTCGTTTGACTAGCTATCACGGACCCGCTGAAAATGTCACAACGATGATGACAATATTACTATACAATTGACGGTGGTTACTGTTATAACTTATAAAAACGACTCCTGTCGATGGTTATATTATAATCGTAAGTTAAAATAGTAAAATTACGCTATAACCTTCCTCCAGGTGTTCGGAGGGCTCTCGAGATCGTGTATTCGAGAATTAGATCAAACACACCGTACAATATAATTGTATGTAAAAGCATATATATATAAAATGACTGCAATCTTAATCAATATTATATTAAATTTCTTACCTGATTCGCAGTTGTTTGTAGATTATGTTTTAAAGGTTTTTTTAGGTGACACAAGGTAACACTTCAAATACTCAAATTGAAATAAAGAACGCACTAATTATAGCTTAACATAAGAAGTCCAGTAGTCGCTCGTTGAAATCGGTATTGAGAATAGAAAGGTTGTTACTCAGATGACTGGTGCTCATGCACTGGTTTTAGGGACGACGTGAAGATGCTGACCAGAGAGTGGTAGGCGGGTTTTGTCAAAGGTTTTATTGTACTACTTTTTAAACATATTATTATTTTATAATTTGTATACATTAATCAGTGGTTAAATAGAATACCAAAATATTATTTAGTGATTTCATTCGAGGAAACATCATGTTTAGAAAGAGAAGGACAAACCATTTTATTTTGAAAATATTTTACTAAATGTTTATGTTATATAGGTACTTATTTATTTTAAATCGTTGTAACCAATTTTACCTAGCATCCTAGAGTTAGAAAAAAAATGTACAGTATAAACTTACCTCACGACATGTTTTATGCCGTCGACTTGGTGATTAAAAAATGAGAATTAATTTCTCTTAGTAATATTTTGATTATTTTTTATTATTATAAATGTCTTCAACAGCCTGTTATGGTTATTAGAATATAATGTACAGTTTATAAATATGCTTAAGGTGTATACCTCTTTTTAATAGATTTTTAGTTTCACATAATCCCTCTCGTTGTTTTATTCAACGTCTCTACTCATTCAACTTCATACATGATCAACCCCTCCAGAGAATGTTTCATCTTTAAAACTATATTCGCTTTGGCCTATAACCTCTCAGTTGAGAGAATACAAAGTTCTAGTCCAGTTTTTGGGCTTATTGTATTATTTATGTGTACCAAATTATAATATTATAATGCAGGTATTCATAGTATATTTAGTTTTAATTGAACAAACGCTTTGTATTATACTGTATTAAAAAACTATCATCTAATAGTAGTTATCTATACCAAATGTATTAGAACCCTTTTAATTTTCTTAGCATATTTGCTTAAAATTTTTCCTTATGGGTAAATTACTCAAAAATTTTAATATAATACTATAAATGTATCATCATATTATGGATAAAATATTCGGTCTTTAAAACCGTAAAGGTTAGGTTACTAAAATATGGTATTTACTGCAAACAAAAATCATTTTTGAACTAAAAAACGTATAATGTTACTTGATTCAGTTAATTATTATTATACAATGTATACAAACGAGGGACATGCACTTATATAGACTCAATTTCACTGCACAATATTCTAATAACCAAGTGGTCTTGGTTAATCGTGTGCTCAAACACGTATTTAATGTATTTTACATTTTTACGTACCTATTTTATAAGTTACCCACGATATTTTATGCGTTGACATATTATAGGTAAATTTTTTTTTTATCTTTAGTGTTGTTAACTAGTGTCACTTTTCGACTTCCTTATCGTCTATTCTTCATCCTAGATTTACGATTCATTATCAGAATTCAGAACACTTAACACGTGGATTAACGAATCCATACTGCCATAAAACCATTGACAATGGCGAGAAACCATTCCATCATTGTGTACCGCATGAAAAATCTTTAGTTTTTTTATGTTTTTTTTTTTTTTATCATTCTGTATTCGTATTTTTATCTGTTCCATTGTTTTGTGTCATTCGAAATTGGAGCAAATACATTGGTTTAACGAGTTAATACCATTAATACCAATATGTCAAATTAATACGCGTTGTTTAATAATATATTATACCTGTTAGTGTTACTGTAATGTAGTACAACACGTTCGTTAAAACAATAATCACCTTATACAATGGGTCGGATCAGCAGTAAACGACCCGCCAAAATTTGAATGATCGGCCAAGTTTTTTTTGTTCTTGTACCTACATGATATTATTTGAACCGAATTTTCCAATTACATTTTACAACCACTTTTTCCCGGTAACTTGTCTGGAATGTTTGCGTATAGGCATTGCGAATGGTTAAATTAATAAATCTAAGCTGACGAAAGTGACATTAGCATGATTACTGCATGCACGTAACATATTACCTACTTCAATAATTCAGTTACCACGATGAAAAACGATTCGTTTTGTTCACAATTGAATGTCTATAATTTATATGATAATGGATTACCAATAGTGGTATCGGTTTGATGTCATTGAGTTCATTCTGAGAATTCTTATTTTGATTTTAACAACAAATGATTTACACTACTTTCACACATACACTCTTTTATCGTGAAACTAATTAAGTAAGTAAAAAAAATCCATCAGTCACTGAATTAATGTAAAAACTATATGCTTATACATACCCACCGAAACTAAACAATGACTTTCCCCAGCTATGTAAAACATTAAATACGTTTTTTTAAATCAAAAACAAATTTTAAAGATTATATTTTACATATTTTATACAGTGAAACTTCCATATAACAAACTTCCATTTAACAACATTTTTATATTTCTGTTTAACGAAATATTTTTGATAACCCAACCGTCTCAACCAATTATATAAATATGTAATACAAAAGATATGAAAATAAAAAATACAAATTAATCATTTGGAATATGAGATAATAACAATTTTAAAAATGTATACCTATAATGAGTAATAGGTAATGTATGAATTAATATGTGCAGTTAAGTAGGTAATCATTTTAAAATACATATTAATTAATGTTAACTAAATAATAATTTTAAAAGTTACCTAATAGTTATAATATATTATAAGTACTATATTATTGTATAATAAACAAACATCCCCCACCCGGGCATGGCAGATACCCACGGGTGCCCACTAAATAATATGCCAAAACTGCACATACGTGTTACACCTAC